TGAAGTGAGTTTGTAATTTAGTAGACAACCAGAAATCTCTGCCACAGCACAAATGAAATAGTTTGAAATTATCAGTTTGGACGTGGGAAATATCTTTGATAGTATCTTACAATTAAAAGTTCATCTATTTGTTAATAACACTATTTAGAAGAATTGTACTGACACTAGTTAAAAATCAGTGGGATTGATGGTACCTGCCTATGATTCCAGTGCCTTGGGAGGCTGAGGCAGGAGGATTGCGAGTTTGAGGTCAGGCTGAACAACTTAGTGAGACCTTGTCTCAAAATAAGAAAGAAAAAGGGCTGGAGATGTAGCTTAGTGCTAGAGAGTGCCCTTGGTGTTCAGTGCCCATTACAGCAAGAAATAAAAGAAAAAAAAAAAAAAAAAAGACTAGATAAAAAATCAGATTACTAAGTCTGGCCTAATGGTATGGTATCTCTGTGTAGTCTCCAGAAGTTGAGTTATTTAAGGCCATCCAGGGCAGCATAGCAAGATCCCATCTCATATAAACAAAAGCAAACAATAAAAAAAATTAGATTACCAGAATTTCAGTACCTTAATCATTAAAATTAAATGTTCAATTAACTGTTTTGGAAAATTTTTTGTTTCAGGATATTAGAAAGTCAAAATTATTCTTAGTTCTATTATTTACTAGTTGTGTAATCTTTGATAAAGCTATTGCTTTGGTTCAGTTTTCTCAAATGTTAAGTGAGCTTAAGTGAGCATCAGGAATGTTCCTAATTCTTAGATCATGTATATTAAGAATGTGCATAGGCATGTAGCATAGCATCTCCCACACAGTAACTTTCAATAAAACCAGCATTGTTATTTGCATTAGGTACTCACTTTTGGACAGAGGGAGTTTGCAGTATTTATTTAGTACAGGCTGAGCATCCTCAGTCCAAAAATTTGATATTAGAAATGCTCCAAAATTCAAAATATGATGCCACAAAGGGAAATTTTCCATACCCAAGCTTACGTAACAGTTGTAGTCAAAATGCACAAAAGTATTGCATAAAATTACCTTCAAGCTATATATACAAGGTATACATGAAAAAAAGCAAATTTCGTGTTTAGAATTGGGTTCTATTCCCAGTATATTTCATTTCTTATAAGCAGATATTCCAAAATGTAAAAAAAATCTGAAATCCCCAAATCCTTCTGTTCTCAGGCGTTTTAGATAAGGAATACTCAACCTGTGTATGGAATTACCAAAAATCAAGTTTGAAGTTAGGATCTCATTGAATTTCTGTCTCCTTTACCAATTGTCATGGAACAAAGACGACCCAAAGCCTTACTTTTAATAGTCATCTACCAATAAATTTCTTTAAAGCCAATTACTTTAATTTTGTTTCAGCTTTGCTAAGAATATTAGTTAGCTTTTCATTGCTGTGACTAAAACACCTAATGAGAACAACTTAGACATGCAAAAGTTTATTTTGGTTCAGGGTACCAGAAGTTTAATCCATGATGGGGCAACTCCATTGCTCTGGGCCCAGGCTAGGCAACACATAAGTGGCAAAAGGGCATGGCACAGGGAACTGCTCAGGACACGGTGGTTGGGAAGCAGAAGGAAAGGGGCAGAAGGGAAGGTGAACCCTACCAAGGGAAGCCCCTGTGATCCACCTCTACCAGCCACATCCCACCTTCCTATAGTTACCACACAGTCCATTCAAACTAGAGCTTACAGCTCTCCTTACTATAATCACTTCACCTCTGAACATTCCTGCATTAACAAGAGCTTGACACCTCATATCCAAACCTTAACTCTTAAGTAATAAAGAGATTTTTAACATTGCTTCTAAAATATATTTATTTACTTTTGAGCCAAATCATAATTTTTGTATAAATACTGAGTTGTAAAGATGAGGCATTTTTATAGTTTATTTCATAAGACTGTTGAGTAGTTGTCATTCAGTTTCATTAAAAGACAACTTAATGTAAGGAAAGTTGTACTTCCCTACATTTTCTACTTATTCCCTTCCTTACAAAAAACATACAAGAACCCTAATGTTAAAAAAAATTGCTTGTATGTGGAATATATTCAGATTTGTGCATTTGATAGCAGATTTTTGATAGTTAATGAGTGAAAGATAGACCTTGTTACATTTTATGCTATTTAAACTTTATTCTCTTGGACTATGGCCTATAGTTATTCTTGGTAACTCATTTTAGTTATTTATAAATGATTTTCTTGGTGATTTTTATTTTTTACTGCTGTTGCTGTTTGAATAAAAGTATAAAGTTTTCTCAAGATAAATTTGAAGTTTAGTACTGAAGAGGTTATATGAATATTTATCTTTAAAGATCTTTAAATTCAGAGATCTTGGATAGCCAAAAATAAATTTTATAATTTCACTCAAATTATTTTAAAGAAACCAGGAAAAGAAAAAACGCAAAAGCAACTTAAACAGATTGTGCTTATGAAGAAAATGTTAATGAAATAAGTAATTATATAGCTATTATTTTTATTTGTTTATTTTTCCTATTATTGTTAGTGCCATAAAGACTTACTTGTATATTGTCATTCATATTTTTGTCTGGTGAATTTAAGGAGCTGGAGAAGATGTAGGGTGTTTGAGAAAATCCAGTTTAAGCCAAATGAATAAGATTTAATTTAAAAACTGACTACAGATTTTCCTGTAAATATTCTCGTTTTTAAAAAACGTGGGAATAAATATGCTTTTTTAATTCTAAATACTTCTAGTGTGTATTTTGCTACAAACATGAGTAGGTCACAGTATATCTGGTTGTTCATATTTGAGAGTTATAAGGTTATGACTCATGGAAAATTGTAATAGTGTAATTGTAACTTGTGGCCACAGTTATTTTCAGTTGAGAGAATGGGAGAAATCCTCTGCATGAATCTTAAATGTCCAGATCTCTTTATCTCCCTTGGCCCCAGTTTTTGGGAGCCTATCTTGATGTACAATGTCATAGACTTAATTATCTGTTGAAATTTTCTCTTTTAATTTTAGAACTATAATATCCCTTTGGACTGGTTTACAAATGGTAACTAAATGAATATCACAAATTTCAGTTGTTTTTCAAAGATTGTGTTATAAATTTTGTTTTAAAGTTATGCTTTGTAAAGGAAAGCATGATTTTTATTTGAAATTTTCCATGCTAAGGATTATTTAGCCTCTTAGATACTGATACTTAGCTTAGACATGAAAAGTGTAGGTGTAAAGAATAATCCCTACTTCATCATTCATGTCATTTAAAAATAGGCTTGGATGCTTAGAAGCTATCAGGTGTGCCTTTATGGGTACTAGAGAAAGAGTCTTGAGAGTCTCAAGTTATTGTCTGAATTAATGTGTGATCTACTATAAAGTTAACAAGCTTATGATTAAAGTATTAATTTGTTTTGCATTCAGTTGGTTATGAATTTTTTTAAGAGTGCTGTTTACTCAATATAGAGCATTTATTACTTACAGAATTAGCAATTAGTCTTTGCTTCTAGACAAACTAGTCTTTGTCCCAGGAAGAAATACCTGGATCAGATCTGTAGCACCAAGAGAGAATTTGGTAAAATAAAAATAAAAAATGTGCAAAAGTATCTAGAAACCTCCCCGGCTGTCTTTAGAAACCAATAAGACAAGTACTAAAAATGTGTCAAATTTTATAAGGCTCATAGTATATCAACAAAAACTATGACAGAGGAATAAATGTTTTTGCTTACTTTAGTGTTATGGACTTGGAAACAATAGAAAAACATTTAATTTTGCATAACAATTTTTGGATACTATTGGAAATTCAGTAAGGCAAACATTTGCTTTGAACAAAAATAAAAGAAATAGGATGTCATCTGACACTATTGTGATACATGTTTCATGAGGTGCAATGTAGCAATTTCCTTATCCCAGCAAGATATTTAAAGTGTTATTCCATTTATAAGTAAAAATTGGACCTAATTGCTATATGCATATTAAGTGACATAACTATTATATAAATTTTGATTTTTAAATTGACAGTACTGTGATGTATTTTTTAGTTTTTCTTCTTGGGTAGGTATTACTACTTGGGGGGAAATTTTAAATTTCTTAAAAAAGTAATTTGATTTAATTCTTTTTGATGTATAGTTTTCCATAACATCACTTCCATATACATGGTTTTACTGGAGTCTCAAACTTTTTGAAATGAGGTAGAAAACTTATTATAGGAACATGGAAGCTTTATCATTCTCCCAAGTGTCTTAATTGATGTGATAAAAATTTAAGAGTTAAAGTGTTCTGTTTAGAACAGTCTAAAAAGAAAGGCAATAATTTCTTTTACATTTGTTTTATCTTTGAATATATAGGCTTCTGAGTCACTCTGGCAGGAACATTAGAAATATTGCTTTAGGCATTTATTATAGTACTTTGATATCGCTTGGTGTAATATATATTAGAAGTGGGTGTTAACACTGATAGTTTCATATGAAACCTATCATTGGGGTAACAAGGAAAAGTAAAATCTGAAAAACAAAAAGTGACTAATAATTTTTATTTCATTTTATTGCCTGTCCTGTGGTGAAGTGAAATAAACAAATAGGGTGCATGAAAAGTCTGAAGGCGAGAAATATTATTAGTAATTGATATGTAAATAGTTTAGTATATGAAAATTTAAGTATATTTACAATTTCACATTTAGTTTATTAGTTTATAAGTCTTGGCCTAAATTTTAGAGGGGACAAACGTGGGGCTAAAATTATAAAAACATGTAGCTCAATAGTAGAGCATTTGCCTAGCATGTGCAAAGCCCTTGCCTGGATCCTTTGTACTGCTTTCCCCTAAAAAACAAAACAAAAAACTAAAACCAGAAGCAAACCCTTGTGCGGAGGTTTGTGCCTATAGTCCCTGCTACTGAAAAGGCTGAGACTGAAAGATCTCTTGAGCCTAACCTAGACTGACATAATGAATCCCTAACCCCCTTTAAAACAAAAAGAAAAAAAAAAAAAAGATTTCTTAAAGGCAAATTTACTGATGCTTTTTGTCACATACTTTGTTGTTATTTCTAAGGGTCTTATTGAAGTATCACAAAGTTTAAAAATGGAAAATGAAGAGTTTAAGAAGAGATACAGTGATGCGACATCTAAAGCTCTGCAGCTTGAGGAAGATATTGTGTCAGTGACACATAAAGCAATTGAAAAAGAAACTGAATTGGACAGGTATTTCTGATGATATAAAAAAAAGTCAATGTTTTAATAAAATTTTTGTTTTTACATTCATGTTGTTTTGTCTTAACGCAGTTTAAAAGACAAACTCAGGAAGGTACAACATGAAAGAGAACAACTTGAATGTCAACTGAAGACAGAAAAGGATGAGAAGGAACTTTATAAGGTATTTTATTCTTTTCATTTCTATTGTTCATTGATTTGTAACAAATTACCCAATAGGCTGTGGGTCAGGAAGTTAGAAGCAACATTATTGAATAGTTCTGAAAGTCAGGATGTTACAGATGTTGCTGTCAGGTTGGCTTGTTTGACACCGAGGATCTGCTTCCATGATGTAGAATGAAATCCAAGAAATAATTTATTTTTTTGTGGTACACTTAACTCATTTATTTTTTTCTGGTACACTTAACTTTTGGCAAGAGGCCCCTCAGTTCTAAGTGACCTCTCCAGAGGTTGCTTGAATGTCCTTACAAAAGGTAGCCAAGTTCCCTCAGTTGAGTAATCCAAGAAGGGGAGGAAGCAAGGAGGAAGTCACTAACTATCACAATGTGTATTGCTCCTAAAAGTTAGTGTTTAGGGAATTAGCTTGCTGGTATTTTAGATACTTAGCAGGTACTGTATAATAAGTCAAAAAGTTTTAATGATAGTCAGATACTTGTTTATTAGAATTTATATAACCAAGTGTTTTTGTATTTTAAGAACTTGTATACCTTAGGGAGAGTATTAATTCATTTCACTGATAATCATATTTTATGGTTTGGCCTTTGAAATAATCTTCAGAGATTGTCATTTTACAGAAATATCCTCACTGCTTATGAATCTTCACTTTATGAAGATTTTTCTTTTTTAGGCATTCCTGTGATGTTAGTATAGTTAGCTTAATTGTCAATATTGTAGGTGTTAATCAAGACTTTAGCTAATAAGCATTTCTGAAAGCAAGTTTTGGATGAGGAATTTTAAGAACATTCTTAATTGTTAGCTTCATGTTAAGTCACATTTATGAGCTGATGATTGTGAAAATTAAAGAGTTTTAAAGGTGGTATTGCAAAGGTGTAGACTATTGACTCCTTCAGGGAACCAGGAGTCACATTTGATCCTATGAACAGGAATTACTCCTTTAAATTCAGAAACATTTAAAGAGTGAAATGCAAGAAATAATTTCTTTCTGGAACACTTAACCAAGATAATTTGTGGACAGTATGTATCCATACTCAGTATAGTTCCCATTACTGAATTTGATTTGTACATCTGTTATGAGAAAATCAGCATCAAAGTTCATGGAAGAATTAGCATAGTTGCATCGATAAGGAAATATGGTTTTAGATACATGGGAAGTAAATGACATAAGGGCTTTTTACATGTAAAACATTGAATTGCTTCAAAATGTTGTTTTTGAAAATACCCTTTCTAGCTTTCAGAATTTGGTCATGTCTTCATATTGTATGTCTTCATAGCATTTTCCAAAAAGAATAAAAAAATCCATTTACATTAGGAAAAAAATGCTAAAATCATTAAATCAAAGGAAAAGTCTTTGGAGATAATGTAGTTAGACCTTATAATTAATGTCTATGGAAAATAACTTTGGAAAAACCATGTTCTGCTTTTAATATGTTCTTATATTCTTACGTAATCATTTGGTAGAACATGGGTTTCCTGACTCCTACTCCCTTCCTTCAGTTATTTTCAAATTAGAGATAAATAATGACATTTTAAACTTTGACTAACTTCAGTTATGTAACTGGATAGAATATTCTTGACATTTCCAAACACTGTTAAAGGTGCATTTGAAGAATACAGAAATAGAAAATACCAAGCTTGTATCAGAGGTCCAGACTTTAAAGAATTTAGATGGAAACAAAGAAAGTATGATTACTCATTTCAAAGAAGAGATTGGCAGACTGCAGTTGTGTTTGGCTGAAAAGGAAAATCTGCAAAGGGCTTTCCTGCTTACAACCTCAAATAAAGTAAGTAGTTTTGCAACATGTATTTGAACTTATAAAACATATCTCTATTAAATATATGCAATATTACCATTTTATTATTTTTAAAATTTTTAATTCTCCCAAACTAATTCTTTTTAACATGTTTAAAATTGCAGAGAAGTTGAAAGAACAAAGCAGTGAATAGCTATGTACCTTAAAATTCTTTGCTCACCTTTGTTTTATCTCCCCTATTTAGATGCTTTTTTTCTGGACATTTGCAAGTTAATTGTAGGCATTACTGTTCTTATGAACAAGTACACCATTATCACTCTCAAGATTTAACATTCATATGATAATATTCATTCTTGGGTATGCTTAGTTCATATTTAATTGATCCAAATAAATCTATGAGTAGCCAGAGATTACACATTAGTTTATTATTTTTAATTTGTTTTAATCTGAAACATTGTCTCTACACTTTTTTATGGTTTCTATAGAATAGCATTCCTATACTGTTTTAATCTAGAATAGTGTCCCTATACTTTTTATGTATTTCTCTCTTTTTCTTATCCCCTCCCCTCCACTATTTTGCAATGCTAGGGATTGAACCCAGGACCTTATGCATACTAGACAAGGGCTCTACTAATGAGCTACACCCCTAGCCCAACATATATTTTTGAAGAAGTCAGGCTAATTTGAAAGAATGTTATATAATCTTAATTTGTCTATTGTTTCCTCATGACTAGATTTCATATCAGTCTTTTTTTTTGGCGGGGGGGGCAAGGAAAGACATGATGTTTTATATATCTTACTGCTTTTATATTAAGAGCCATATAAATGTAATTATGTTCTATTCTTGATGTTGGGTTTGGTAATTAATTTAGTTTTGTCTTCCTGACATTATTGAGGTGTTTTCCCTTCTCCTCCTCCTCTTTGTGATTATTAAGCAATCATGGCATAATACTTCATGATTATGTGAACATCCTGTCCTCTAATAGCCTTTTACCCAATGGTTTTATTAGTCCTTTGATGAGTCTTACTTACCTCAGCTTTGAGATTAATGGTTACAACATGATGATTTTAAAGATTCTGTCATTCCTTCTACATTTAGTAGTAGCTACTATTTTATGAGGTTACTGTTATCCTTTCCCCTTCCTTTATGTTACTATGAACTTATTATTTTACATTATCATCATTATTTTTTTTCAGTTCACAATTGTCTCTATTTAGCTGGTGAACCTTTTCAAGTGCTTTTGTGTCCTTTCTTTTTTAAATCCCTCGTGGTGCTGGGGACTGAACCTAAGGCCTAGTGAATGGTAATCGAGTATGCTACCACTGAGCTATATACCTAACCCATTTTACTTTTATTTAATTTGAGACAGGTTCTTGATAAGTTGTCCAGGCTGGCCTTGAACTTCAGATCCTTCTGCCTCAGCCTCCCAAATAACTGGGATTATTGGCACATGCTACTGTATGCACCTGGCTGTTGTTTCCTTTTAATATGCCTTTATCAAGCTTTGTATGCATTTTTGGGGGGGGGTACTGGGGGATTGAACTCAGGGGCTTTCAACTACTGAGCCACATCCCCAGCACTATTTTGTATTTTATTTAGAGACAGGGATTCACTGAGTTGCGTAGTGCCTCACCATTGCTGAGGCTGACTTGGAATTTGCAATCCTCCTGTCTCAGCCTCCTGAGCCTCTGGGATTACAGGTGTGTGCCACCAGGCCTGGCTTTTGTATACTTTTTTAAAATTATGCACCTGTGTTTTCCATGTTCAGGTTATGTCTCAGACCCATTGTTACCATTTTAGGGGACTATGGCTTTTTTCATTTCCAGTAGATACTTCAAATCATTATTAATATATCTAACCCCAAAATAGTACTTTAGGATTCTTCTTTACTTTCCTCCATTTCATATTTATATATATTTTCTCCTAGTGTGAGAACTTTTTGTTTTTGAGACCTTATATTTTTCATGTGTTTATATATCATGAGGTTCAGAATTTCTATGTCATTGCCGCTTTCAACAGTAAGTCCACTAAAAAAAATTAAAGTTTTTTTTCCAGCTCTTGAGTTTATTTCTCTAGGGATGTTCATAATGCCATGTTCAAAAGTTGATGTACTTTTAAAAAAAGTTTTATGTTATAAATTTGTAATACAGTTCAAGCTTTTTTTTAGTATTTAAGATTTATGTTTCTCTTTTTTGAATATATAAAGTAGTTACATTATTGGAAAGTAAAAAAATGATATAAAAATTTACTCATTTTAAACTCTTCTGTATTCTTTTTACCTATACCCACAGGTAAACATTTTTATTAGTTTCTAAGTTAATCCTCCTTATGTTTCTTTTTGGAAAAATAAGCTTATGTGTGCATGTGCACAGTACACATACTCATTTTTCTTCATTTTCTTGGGAAAAAAAAGAATACTACTTGGATGTACCTTGTTTCTTCTCACTGAAAAATGTAAATTGTCATTCATTATTTATCAGAGATCTTCCTCATTTTTTTCAATTGCTGCATAATACTCCACATATAGATTTATCTTAATTTACTTATTACGTTTTATGGGTATTAAGTTGGTTTAAGTATTTTGCTACAAATTATATTAAGGCATATTTATTGTTACACCTGAAATGTTAGAAGTGTATGACATTTGGGGCTGGAATTGTGACTCAGTGGTAGAGCATTAGTCTAGCCTGTGTAAGACACTGGGTTCGATCTTCAGCACCACATAAAAATAAGTAAATAAAGGTGTTGTTCATCTACAACTAAAATAATAATAATAAATAAAGCTAAACAAAAAACAAAAGAAGTGTATGACATTTAAAGTCAATAGTTAAACCCCAGGTTGCTCTTTTAATCCAGCAGATTTCAAATGCAAATGCAGTTTAAGTATCAAATGTATAGATAAATTTAAGTATCACATGTATAAATATTGGTTTGTGGCCTTTTGAACATATTTTGACTTCGTAGTAGAAGCTTGAGATTTCTGTGAAGGGTATTTGATTTTTGAAGTTGAATAAGATGCTAAAATATCTCATATAAGTATAAAAATATATTTACATTTTAACTCAGAATACATATAGTGTTTAATATTTAAAAATATTTATAGAATATGTGGATATCTTGCACTATGAGTATACATGTAGATCTTTCTTATTATAATAGCTGCATCATATTCCTACTTTCATTTAATGGTTGTATAAGTATGTAATTGATACAAGTTGTTTACTATCATTAGCTTTTATAAACAGACTGAGATAAGCATCCTTATGTAGATATCTAGGTACAGGTCTAAATCTGCCAAGTCAGTATGATTGCAAGTTCAAGGTCAGTGTCACCAACTTAATGAGAACCTGTCTCAAAATATAAATTAAGAGCTGGGGATGTAGGTCAGTGGCAAAGCATACCTGGGTTCAATCCACAATACCAAAACAAACAAACAAACAAATAAATATATGTTGATATAGAATGGTAGATTAATATTTTGGTTGTCTTTTAAGTTAGAAAGTAGGAAATACCTTTAACTAAAATTTTTGGTATTAGAAAGTCTTTTAAATTATTTTATTGTAATCACAGAAAGTGTGTGTCAGTAGTTCAAGCTGGAGAGATTTGGGGGACATTTGAGTCTTGGGCACTTTCATTTAAGTCTTCAATTTAGACAGAACTTTAAGCACTGGATATGCCACTTGATGGCTGTATTTCAGTTTCTTTATGTGTGAAATAGTAGTGGTCATACCATGTCTATGGTTACTAGGTAGGAAATCTAAATGTCACACATTTTAAATTTTTTACGGACATACTTCATCTATGTCATGTGTAGAAAAGCAATATTTAATTTAAAACTTTGGATATCTTGAAGGTATAAAATTGTTGTGCTTTTTTTTTTTTTTTTTTACTTGAATGGTTTAATCACAGCAATAATTATCTGCTTTTCTTCAGGAAGATTCATTTTCTTTAAAGGAGCAGCTTCGTAAAGCAGAGGAACAGGTTCAGGCAACTCGACAAGAAGTTGTCTTTCTGGCTAAAGAACTTAGTGATGCAGTAAATGTGCGAGATAAAACAATGGCAGATCTACATACTGCACGCTTGGAAAATGAGAAAGTGAAGAAGCAGTTAGCTGATGCACTGGCAGAACTTAAACTAAATGCTGTGAAAAAAGATCAGGTAAAGCAAGTCAACTTTGAATTAATAACCATAAACTCATGAAAAGAATAAATTATAATAAAATAAGTCAGATCAGATTTCTGACCAGAGAATTTTAAGTTTCCATTCATTCTGTTTAGTTATTGTAACTTCTTGGGTTGAAATTAATGTGTCAAGAAAATCTTCTGTAAGCACAATTCCTTATTTTTAGTAAAAGTTGTTCTGTTATTAAATATTTTTGATATCAGGTATATATTGCTTTGTTTGGTATTTCTTGTTTACTAGTTATATAAAATAGCTTATGGTACAGAGTTACGAAAAATTGTGCTGTGAATGGATAATTATGAATGTAATTCACTCCACTATTGTCATGTATGTAAGAAATTAAAAAAATAGCATATGGTTACTTAAGAGAATAATAATTATTCCTCAGGAAGTAGATTATTTGTAGTTTTTAAATGAACCTTAGTCAAAACATATAAATCTAGATTTGTTAGGAGAATTGTTGTGGCACTATAGCCTAAACCCCAGAACAAAAAAAAAAAAAAGCCAGAAAGACATAAGTAAAAAGGAAGTTGGATTTACTATTACAAAATGAAGTATCAGGTTTTTATCTTAGTGGCAATATTTTTTTGTTTCTTAGGACAAGACTGATACATTGGAACATGAACTGAGAAGAGAAGTTGAAGATTTGAAACTCCGTCTCCAGATGGCTGCAGATCATTATAAAGAAAAATTTAAGGAATGTCAGAGGCTCCAAAAACAAATAAACAAACTTTCAGACCAATCAGTAAGTACCATTGAATTCATATGAAAGTGGTACCATAGTCGTCTTATACTCTGTGATATAGATAATATTTTCCTGGTCTTCCGATTGAAATCTGAAAGCAGAAAAAGGAGCAAGGAATGCATGCAGTAAAATAGGAAGGCTTTGTGAAAAAAGTTACAGTTTAAGTATCAAATGTATAGATTATTTAAGTATCACATGTATAAATATTGGTTTGTGGCCTTTTGAACATATTTTGGCTTCGTAGTAGAAGCTTGAGATTTCTGTGAATGATTAGTTTTGGTAAATTCACAAGAAAAAGCAATGTGTTTTTCTTTTGCAACATTTGGATTGTAGATGATGTATAACTTTAGTATTTGTTTGGCTTTTAAAACAAGGATAGCTTTATGGATGTATAGGATTTCTTTTTTATTATTTACATATTTACTTAAAAAGTCTAACAAAATCAATGACTTGATTTAATAGTTTATTGTTAATATCCTGAATAGGCCAATAACAATGTGTTCACAAAGAAAGTTGGGAATCAGCAGAAAGTGAATGATGCTTCAATAAACACAGACCCAGCCACTTCTGTGTCTGCTGTAGATGTAAAGCTGCCACTATCTTCTGCAGGTAAAAATCTTTTAGATTTTTTTGTGTAGAGTGTCCTACCTTAAAAAGTATTAATATGACCAGGCGTGTGGTATTGGAACATGTTTACTTAATAAAAGAGTTAGCAGGTGGTAATGAAGGACTGGAAGAATGACTTAAAAATGTATTCTTCAGAGTATATTTTTTTCTTATCCTGTTTACTCAGTTATCTAGGGAGAACAATTTTTGTGCCATTTTGGAACTACTTTTAGCAAATTATTAAAAAGAAAAAAGAACGGTGCATTCATTATTGAAAGTGAACTTGGTTCTGACATTTTAAAATTCTCATTCTCATTTAGAATTTATTTTTCTTTGTTTATTTAGGATATAAATAAATGTTTCTGTCCTTCAGTATTCCATTTTTACACTTTACAATTGACTCTTAAGTTTTTCTGAGCAAGAAAATAATATAAGGGGCAAAATACTTTTTAATGATCTTATTTTCTGTCTTATTACAGCAGAGACAGATTTTGACTTGCTCTCGAAAGGTAAAGTCTGTGAAATGACCAAAGAAATTGCTGACAAAACAGAAAAGTATAATAAATGTAAACAACTCTTGCAGGTAAGTTAACTTTTTGAGTGAAAGAAAGATTTATCAAATGTTAAATGGTTTAGCTCACCTTTATTAAGTTTTATTGATTATTTTTTTTTTTTCCAGCCCCATATACTGTTTCACTTTTGCCTTTGGGATGATGAAAGGAGGTGCTTTGTATACTTGTTCATAAAGGCCATTGTGTAAAATCATTACCCCCAAATTAGTATTTTCTGTTCATATGTACTAAAATGTCCTTGTTTGGATAATGAACAAGTAATTAGTTGAGGTTGGAAATTTCTCCCTGTCTTTTTGTAATAGTATATGGAAAATATTTGAATTTTATAATAAAGGGAAATACTCTTTTTTAAAGTTTATTGTAAAAGGAAAAAGAAATTTAACATATCTCAAAAGTGACCCAGTGGACACATGGCAAAAGGGAATATTAACCAAATTGATTATTTTAAATATCATCATTCAGACTTTAAAGTTTTGCATGCAGGTACTATTCATACCTGGAGTATTTGAAGGATGAAGGAAATTGCTCCTCAGTTGTTTTGTGTTTGCATATGTGATTTTTGTGTCTTAATTTGTGTATTTGTATTTCTGAGTCTGGGAAAAGAAAGGAAATTCTATAGAGCTACAGACAGAAAAGCATAGATTAGCTCAGTGTTACTGTAATAATTTAAAACTTAAAAACATTATTAAAATCTTTAGCAGACTTTAAACTGGACTTTTTTTTTTTTTTTCTTTTTTGTGGTGGTGGGAATCAAACCTAGGGCCTCACTTACGTTAAGCAAGTATTCTACTGTTGATCTATACCCACAGCAGACTCCTTCTGTAAAAGAGCTAATTAGCAGTATTAATAACATTGTAGTATAATGCATTACTCACATGTTTATAGTAATGCTGATGCAATGAAATCTACTGCACTTCAAGTCCTATAAAGGTATAGCATTTACAGTTATGTACTGTGCATAACAGTTGATAATAAATGACTGTTACTGATTAATGTATTTGTTTTACTAATACTATTATTTTAGAGTGTATACCTTCTGTTCATTTAAAAAAAAAAAGACCTAAAAACTTTAAAATAGTGTGCCATGTTAACCAGCAACAGCTTCACAATCTCACATGTACTTCATCTTTCCATTGCATCATATTCTTTTGTGCTTCATTTAGTCTCATTTTGTTTCATTTATTGTGGCCCCTAAGTGTACAAAATTCACTACTTATATATTGTCAGTAAGAGGCCATGTTTAGTGATTGACTTGGAAACAAATAAAAGTAAAGACTGTGAAGGTAAAAAGTCAATGATCACTATCAGGCATGTTCTGTTCCACTGAAAATATGATCTTCAAGAACAAGAACAGAAAGACGGAGCTGTTATAGGATCCACTTTATTGAAGGCAGCAAGATAATTCAAGAAGAGTATATATCAATTAAAAATTTCTAGAGATTTGAATTGAAGACCAAATATAGAAGCTTATCTGATTCCACACCATGATGATCACAACCAGCAAAAAGTTTATGTATGATGTTGAAAGAAAAGGCTATATTCAGCTTATGAAGTTAAATTTGCTGCTAGCTCATTATTCATTACATAATGTAAAAGTAAGTGGTGAGTTTGCAAAGCACACCACGTGCTGATGTGAAGGTAGCTGAAGAATTTTAGAAAATTCAAAATAAGCTGATTGTGGAGAAAAATTACTTGCCACAGCAAATCTTCAATATGAATGAAACCTGTTTCCACAACCACAAAGTCTCCTATCTAATGAGGAAGCATTTCTCAGGATATATGCCCATCATTAAGCAATGTGTGACTATAATTATTTGTAAGGGACTAAACTATCTTTAAGGATGAAACAATTCTGAATGAGTATTTAAAATTTTTTATTATATACCAATATTATTAAAAGAAGATATTATGTTTCTTCAAGTAAGACTTTCTGAAGGAACATCTAAAAATCTGTTTATTTATTTATTTTTGGTACTGGGGATTGAACTCAGGGGCACTTGACCACTGACCCACATCCCCTGGCCTATTTTGTATTTTCTTTAGAGACACGGTCTCACTGAGTTGCTTAGTGCCTCACCATTGCTGAGGCTGGCTTCAAACCCACCATCCTCCTGTCTCAGCCTCCCGAGCAGTTGGCATTACAGGTGTGCACCACCGCACTGGGCTTAACTTTTTTGAGGTACACTTTTTAAACCAATGAAGTACACATATATATGAAGTGTGCCATTTGATCAGTTTTGACCTACACAGTCCAGAAAATATCACTATATTGTCAAGATAATGAACATTTCCATTACTCCCCAATTTTTTTGTGCCTGTTTGCAACTTGGCTCTTTCTTCTATCTTCATTTTTCAGGAAAACATTTGCCTATTTTCTGCCACTATTGACTAACCTAAATTTTTTGTATGTCTTTATAAAATGGTGTCATTATAGTATGTTCTCTTTTCCTATCCCTTTCAGCACAAATTATTTTTGAGAATTGTCCATATTATTGTTATATTGTTAGCTTATTCATGCCATTTCATTCCTGAGGTAGTATCCCATTTTATATATGTATTATAATTTGTTTATACATTACAAGTGGTTGGGCATTTGGGGTTTTTAATTGTTATGAGTAAAGTTGTTATGAACATTTGTAGATAAGGTTTTTTGTGACCGTAACAGTTTTTTGCTTCTTGTGGGTAAATATCCAGGAGTGAAATGCCTAGGTGATAAGGTAGGCAACACATTGGTTAACTGTATGAGAAATTACCAGATTATTTTGCATAGTACTTTTGTACCATTTACATAGCCAGACTAATGAACGTGTCATGATAATATCATTGTGGTTTGAATTTGCATTTCCATGATGAATTAATGCTGAGCTTCATTTCTTATGCTTGTCAGCTGTGTACCCTTCCCACCCTCCTTCGGTGATTGTTTAGATCTTTTTTCTACTTTAAAAATTGTGTTGTTCATCTTGTGTTGTACTTGTTCTTTATTCTAGATACAGTTTCTTTCTCTGCCATTTGTGGTGCATATTTTCTCCCAATCTGCCTTTTCATTTCTTTAATGGTGTTTTTAGAAAAGCAAAATTTTAATGATGGTTTATTAATCATTCCTTTATATTTTGTTATTTTTAAAAATATTTGTTTAATCCAAAGTAATAAAGATTTTCTCCTATGTTATCTTCCATAAGATTTTTGTTTTTGTGGTGCCAGGTATTGAACACACAACTGAAAGCCTGCTAGGCGAGTTCTCTATTACACTTCCAGCCCATCTAGAAGTTTTAGAGTCAGGTTTTGCATTTAATTCTGTGAACCATAGTTGATTTAGTATTATTTGTTTTTCAAAGGTATTTCTTTCTCCATTGAATTACTCAAAAGTATACTTTTAAACTTCACCTTGAACAAAAACATTGAAAATGAAATGGTCATATATTGCCTTTTTTGTCATGATTTCTAACTCCTTCCATAAGATGTTTTGGGTTATAAGAAAAAGCAATTGTATGAATACATGATTTCCCTCCATCCTTTTGTAAAGTCATAACTATTGTGAAGTATCATGTCACTGCAAATAAAAAGAACAGAGATGGTAAAAAGTATCTCCCTGATCCTGATCCCGAGATATGAGCTGTTAATAATGAAATTTATATTTTTCTATACAATATTGGCATAGATATCATATATAATTATATAAAACAAAAGTAAGAATGGATTATATTGTACTATTTTTGCAACATGCTATTCAGTGTAATTTGACATTTTTGTCTGCTTGAACATCTGCCTTTTAAATATATTTATACTGTTCCATTTATGGATATAAAATGATTAATCTATTGATAGACATTTAGTCCTTTTATGTTTATGCTGTTACAGCAGTGTTATGAAAAATATTAGTACACATTTAAGTATGTTTGTGTATATGTTTACTTTATATGGATTTAAAATCTTTTGATAATTATACTAATTTTACTTAGGATGAGAAAACTAAATGCAGTAAATATGCTGATGAACTTGCAAAAATGGAGCTGAAATGGAAAGAACAAATGAAAATTGTTGAAAATGTAAAACTTGAACTAGCTGAAGTAGAGGACAATTATAAAGTAAGTTTAGCACTTGTATACAAACCTAAAGCATAGAACTTATTGTACCACCTGATGCTTTTGAAAATGTATTTTCTGTCATTTTCATCAACCTAATACACATTTTTAATATGGATAATTGAGGTATTTTTCTTCTATAAATGAAAATGGTGTGTATTTAGTTTCATTGAATGTAGATCATTCATTGTGAACTGATAAAAATGAATATTCGTATTAATTGGTATTATGGCTTTAGTTCACTGAGAAAAATGAATATTCGTATTAATTGGTATTATGGCTTTAGTTCTGTGGATTCAGATAGCTATTAAAAATTTATATTTTGGGCTGGGGTTGTGGCTCAGTGATAGAGCACTTGCCTAGAGTGTATAAGGCACTGGGTTCAATCCTCTGTATACACCTACATTGAAGAGAAATTTTTTAAAAAAATTATCTTTTAATTGTGCTTATTTTAAAGATTAAAAGCAATCATTTCAATATTCTCCTGCTTGCTTTTTTTTGGCAGGGGCTACGGGGATTGAACCCAGGGACACTTTACCATTGAGCCACATCCTCAGCCCTTTTTATATTTTTTATTTTGGGATAGGGTCTCACTAAGTTGCTAGGGCTGGCTTTGAACTTGTGATCCTCCTGCCTCAGCCCGCTGAGTTGCTGGGATTATAGGTGTGTGCCACCATGCCTGGCTTTTTTTTTTTAAACAAACATGTATGTTAAATTATTTGGGGGCCTCAATGGGTTTTATGTTATAATAATGTATCATCAGTAATTCTTAAAAATTTTAAATTTATTTTAATTTAGAATTTTAAAAATTATTTCCCAGTTGTCTTATTGTGATCCTAAATGAAGTTCTGCAAGGTAAATCATAAAATCTTAATTAAAATTATTTTTTGCCATTGTAACATAAGTGAGCAAAAAAATTCAAATGATAAATCATATCTATAAGAAGATTAGTAAAAAATATTATTGGGCTGTCTAGCTAATTACTAAGTAGTAAAGTATTAGCTTTCTCGGGAATAGAGTGCAATATGATATATTTTACAATATACATGTATGGCCTGGGGATGTGGCTCAGTGACTTTCCTGGCATGCAGTCTAAGTGATTAAGTTCTGCTGTATCATAGCTACTTTTATCTGTATCTGATTTTTAAATTACAGTTATTTAAAGTTTCCTTTGTGGAAGCTGAAGAGAGCTAATTTTACTGGTGAACCTTCTATTCTTAAAATGATATTTCATGAATCATTGTTGTTTCCGAGATTCTGGTGGATATTGTCTTCAGTGACTACAACTTCTGTTGTTATTTGTAAAGTGTGAATACTGAATATATTAAAATTTTTTGCATGTTGATGAGAAAAAATGGTTTGCTAAATATTTATTGAAACCTATTTAATGCCCTTCACTTTTGATACAAACGTGGACTGAGTAGGTAAGGTAAAATGTGATAAAAGCTTCACGTGAGTGATGTTTCAAATACCCTGGGGTTGTTTCCAATCACATATTTAGTAGGAAGATATTATGGAGAAACTAGATCTTTGAAAGACGGAACTGAAAGAGAGAAGTGAAGTTAGGAAAAGGAAGAAAAATTGTTCTAAACAGACAGAAAGTATTATACAGGTTTGGAGGTCAGATGTAGATAGCAGAGCTGGGGAACTAAAGCATTTGGACTCTTATTAATTGGAAACTGTTGAGCAATAAGGCTTTTAATATCTATATTTGAATGAAAGCTTGAAGCCAGATTTTGGAAGGCCTAAAATGGAATTTGGTGCTGGTTTCTGTTTAGAATTTTTTAGGCTAAAAGGGACCCAACTAGAGTAGGTCCTTTCTGAAAATAATTTGGTAGCACTAAAGATGGTTTACATATTGGAACATATAAACAGTTTAAAGGTGAGGGAATCAGGGAGAAATATTCTTCAAATGAATCGATAAAGGCCACCTCCTTTGAAAATACCTTCCCTGATCTAGTGCCATTGAATAGGATATAAGTCTAGTAAAGAACGTATTAAAATGCATCTTTAGGGAAGAACTCTTGATGAGTAGATTTATTTGATTTTGCATCTGTTAATACTTATCCTGTATAGGTGGTCAGTGGGTAGTGGATGAAGGAATGAATGACAGGGAATAAAAGCACCGGGAATGGAGGAAGAGGAGGAGGAAGTATTCTAACCATCAATGTTCTCTGATTTTGATGGTATCTTGTTAACAAATGTAGGAAAGAAGGCTTGGGACATTTTGTCTTTACAGTGAGGGAAGGGCAGCAATGTGCATGTATCCAGTCATCTATTTAAAAAGCAGATGTGGAACTTAATAGAGAAATGGTATACCAGTCAGTATTTGTGGATATTTTCAAGGCATGGAAAAAAGTGACTTTTCACAGAGATGCCAAAGAAACTTTGAAGAATACTCGTATGTGTGATTGAGAAGAAAAAGTAGACACAAAGGGCATGGAGAATGATAGTATTGAAAGAGTTTTACATAAACCAAAGGAATAGTTTTAAGAATAAGAGGAATTTATTGATAACAATTCAGAGAAGCCAAAGAGTAAGCATTGAAGAAAATACATGGATCTGATAATATAAATTGTTTTGATAGAATCATATGAATTAGATCTCAAATTGTAAGGAGGGAATATAAATGATGAAAAAAATTAATTTATTTCTTTATTTAGCTTCAGTTGGCAGAAAAAGACAAAGAAATAAGTGGTCTGACTTCACATTTGGAAAACCTCTCCAGAGAGAAGGTATTAAGCAATGTGCTTTTTAAAAAACAACAGAAAAACTTTATGTATTTACTTTAGAATATGAGAAAAATGCACGTGTTAAAAGTTATTAGTTTAGTCTTTGTTATCTATTTTGTGTTTAACAATGAATAAATTTTACAATATTCAAATATAAGAATATGTTGAAATTTAAAAAATTTTTGTATGCTTATCTGGTTTTCTTTTGTAATAGGAAATGCTTGTGAAGTTGTAAAATTACTTAACTGCATTAGCTGACATTCAAACAGAGCTATACGTACAGTTGTAAAGGTGGTGTAGTATAGCATTTGTCATAGTGGTACTTTGGTATGTGTCCCCATCTCTTTTCAGAGCTCTGCAAAGATACAATTTTTCATAATAATACTATAGCATTACTTGGATTTTCCCCCCATAGTGTTAACATGTATACTGTTGGTATGAAAGCAATGGTGGAAAAATTGTTTGTTGTTATTAAGTTAGTAGCAACAAATCATGGTAGTAGTTGTATTCATTTTAACCCTGTACTTAACCCTGTATATAAAAAAAGGGGAAAGAGCTATTGAAACATGGATCTATAGAATGTAGCAAAGTGATCATAATTAGTTGACTGTATAAATGAAAACAGCTCTTTTTAAAAACAAAATAATTTGTAATTTTACTAAGGCTTAAATTCAAATTATGTGTGCTATTTTGTTGATATGGTGTTACTTCATTGAACTGGGATAGTTTTGAGTCACTGGAGTGGAATAAATGGGTTCCTAATTTGACCCTCACAAGTTTTTGCATAAAAAATATCCTTACATTATTTATAGCAGAAGAAACTATGGCTTAGTAAAGAGAAAAGTGACTTGACCGACTCTCACAACACTCAAGTAGTTTGTACATTCTTCTTAACTCACACTGACATTGTCTACTAGGAACTTTTTTTTTTTTTTTTTTTTTTTTTTTTTTGTCTACTAGGAACTTTTTCGTTCCCTCACTACTTATAGGTCTTCACTCCAATGTCATTTTTTTCCTGATTGTTCTGTGTACAAGTTGGAACCCACTACTCCACCAGTATGCTCTGTGCCTTTATTCTTTTTCCATCTCTGCAGGATTTATCACCATTTAACAGATCCTGTATTTTACTTTGTTTATTGTTTATCTTCCTTTTTCTAGAATGTAAGTTTTATAAGTCAGAAAGTTTTGTCAGTTATTCATAAATCCCAAATGCTAGTAGATATTGAGTAAATGAGCAAATAAAAGGACTCATTATAGTTTATTTTACCTAATAGTTCCCTAGTATTTCTATAGTATAATTTGTTTATAAAAACTAGTTTTTAGTAGTGTAAAATCAATCTCTGTGTGTGTGTGTTGCAGGGGATTGGGGATGGTGTTACTGGGGATTGAACCTACAGCTGCACATGATAGGCAAGAGCTAATCCAGTGAGCTACATTGCACTTATTTACCATTTTTGTATCTTCATATTACTTCAAATAATTGGCATAAATCCTTCTTAGAAATTTGAAAAGGGAAAAATTATAAAGCAAAAGCAACATAGTAAATAATGGAAAAATTTTTTTCATGGAAAATTGTTTACTATTACCAGAGAAAATTTTAAAATGTTCTTTAATATTAGTGTTTTTGCATATTGACAAACCAGATTAGGGATATTTCTTGAGTCATATATTCTGCTTTTTAAATATGGGCTGTTTGGACTGGAGATTAGCTCAGTTGTAGACAGAATTGTATGTATGTGTATATACATATACATGGGCAGGTTGTTCAGAACATTTGTATTTCCATGTACATTTTATAATCATCTATTTATATAGACTCTTACTAGGATTTTGATTGGGATTGCATTGAATTGGGGGGATATTAATAGTGTAAAAATACTATTTTCCAGCCTGTGAACTTGGTATCTCTCTCCATTTATGCTCTTTAATTTCTCTCAGCATTGCTTTTTTGTTTTTAGTATATAGGCTTTGTTTATCTTTTGTTAAGATAAAATACTTAGGAATAAATCTTACCTACCGATTCTGCTCTAAGTAAAATTGGTTAAAATTTCATTTTCTAATTATTTGTTGCTGATACATGGAAACAGTTCATTTTGTATATTAACTTTGTATACTGTGACCTTGCTTTAATTTATTCATTCTCCTAGTTATTGTAGATGTGATAGGATTTTTCTACATACATGATTATGTCATGTGAATAAAGACAGTTTTACTTTATTTTTAGTCTTCCTGCCTTAATCTGAAATTAATTCACTGGTTATTTTGAATAGAGGCTGTGAGAGCAGATATCCTTGCCTTGTATTTGATCTTCAGTAGGCTCATTTAATTTTTCACTATTAAGTTTTACTTTAAAAAAATTTTACACTAGGTTGCTGAGATTTCTTTAAAAAGCACGAATCTGTATTAAATTTGTAAAATATTTCTTCAGCATGATTTGTCCCCTTTATTCTTTTTTTTATTAGATGTTTTTATGGACACAGTACCTTCATTTTATTTCCATATGGTGCTGAGGATCAAACCCAGTGCCTCACATGTGCTAGGCTCTCCCACTGCGCCACAACCCCAGACCCCTTTTATTCTTTTAACATAGTGAATTATATTTATTGATTTTTTTTTTTTTTTTTGGATGTTAAACTGACTTCACATTCTCATTTAGTCATAGTGTTTGTTTTTTAATATTATTGATTTTTATTTGCTAATAAGAAGTTCAGGGTTTTTCCATTAATACTTTTAGGATGAAGTCAGTCATTTTTTTTCCCCCTTGATGTCTTTGTTTGGTTTTCATAGTAGAATAATACTGGCTTTGTTAAAAAGTTGGGACATGTTTCTTATACTTTAAAAGAGTTAACAAAACAAGAAAAAAAATGAATTGCTTCCCTAGGGAATTCAATCAAATGTTTATAATTCTGTATTAAGACTTTAAAATATTGTTAATACCTTTGAGTAGTAAGAGATTAATAATTAGTTTCCTTAAATTAGTTCTATAACAAGGCACTTTTCAGCACAAATAAATTTGAAAATACATTGAGTTTTGTCTTGCTGTCTGATTTTGTTAAATTTGGAAGGGGCATTTATGAGAAGTCTTTCCAGTTGCATATCTGAAACATAATAGGGAAGTAATTTTATTGTTATTTCAGCTAAATGTTTAATGTTGCCCTTATAAATGTTTGATTGCTTTTCTTATTTATCTTTGTTTTTGCTAATTTTAGGAACTTAAAAGGAATTTAGAAAATCAAACAGAAAAGAAAATGGAAGTCCATAGTTCCCAACAGACCTCACAGTGTCTCAACACATGCTCAGAGCAAAGTGGGCACGTTCATGTACTGCCAAATGTACAACCAGTTCTGCAGTATGGTAATCCGTATGCAACACAGGAAACAAGAGGTTATTATTTTTGGCTTGGGGTTAGCTGAATCTGGATTTTTTTTTTTCCCTTATATTTTCATGAGATTAGAGAACTCCTGGCACAATTTACTTTAACGGAAACATTTGTATAATTGGCAGTTTTAATGTTTAACACTGTTAAGGGCATCATCCAGAAATGATGTACCATGCTTATTACGTATAATTCAATTTCTAAAATCACTTGGGTTAAAAATGAAAACATTTGTTTTTTTTGATGTAACAGTATGTTTTTTTTATATCCTGTTTATCAAATCTATACATAGAGATGCTAATTGTAGTAAATAGTTTCATCCTACCCTTCTAAAATATGTATTTTTTTCTTTTCCAAAATTATCACAGATGGAGCAGATGGTGCTTTTTATCCAGATGAAATTCAAAGGCCACCTGTAAGAGTCCCTTCTTGGGAAGACAATGTTGTCTGTAGCCAGCCTTCTCGAAACCTTAGTCGGCCTGATGGTTTAGAAGACCCAGAGGACAGCAAAGTAAGTTGAATTTCCATTGTCTGAATTTGTCCCCTTTTTTGGTCTTATGTAGAGAGTTGAAGGTATGTGCATGTGTGAAAAAAAGTATATGCTAGGGTTTGCATAATTTTTGGAAAAATCTTGCTTGTATTGAAATTCAAAAAATAAACTAATATTCTTCAGACTTTAGGATTTATATTCTAAAGTCAAAGATTAAGATCAGAGAATGGTCTGAGACTATTGTAGTTACCAATATCTAAGTCTTTTGTTGTTGTTTTGGATAATGATGATTGAATCAGGGGTATTTAACCAATGAGGCTGGCTGTGAACTTGAGATCCTCCTGCCTCAGCTGCTGGGATTACAGGCTTGTTCTACCAAGGAAGCTGGGCCAGATAGTTGAATCTTAATTATCATTAAGTGACTTACTACATTCTTTGTATTATAGATGTACTAGGCTGGAAGAAACAGTTATTATGATGCATACTGAAGCATAATATTGCACTTTTTATATCATACTGGAAATTTTTAAGGTAGAATCCTCATTAAAACTTCAGCCAGAAAAAGAGAGTAGTGTAGGTATCATGTAGTAATTTTCTTTTTCAGAGAAATAACTTTTTAGATATCTTTATTTATGTAGCATTTCTGATTTTATGGCATCAATATTGATAATAATGGAATGAGTTGTGTAGAATGTCATTTTTTAAAATATATATTTAAGAAATTATTTTCACCTTTTGAGAAATAGCTTTATTTTCAAAGCTGCTTTACTTTGGAAAGTATGTTCTTTTCTTCATAGCTCTTTTTGGATTTCCTGTGTATTAAGATCAGTTTAAAAGAAATGCTTTTTATGCTCTTTGCAAGTACAGTGGTATCATGACCTGTTTCTCATTTAGTCTAGTTTGCTGCATTTAATTGCTATTAACCTTTGCAGAAACTGATCAGTGTTCAGACAGGCATGATTTTAGCCCTGGTGCTCAACACCCATAATGGAGAAAAATGTATTTCTCTCTCCTGCCTTTTGGCCTCCTATGTCCATTACTGGGAATAATTAGGGAAACTGTCAGAACTTTTGTAGCCTATTTAAGGTCTAGAGTATCATCTTACTGCTTTTTCACACCTTTACTTCACATTTTGCATATTTAATCTAATCATCTTTGGCACAGATGTTACATGTGACAAGCCCTTCTCTTCCGTAGTCATCTGCTTCAGTTTAATTAGCAGAATGTTCTTTCTGATCTGTGTGCTTTGCCCTCCTGCAAACCCATGAGAAGCAGTGTTAGAGGCTTGTGCTCATTTGCTGACATACTTAGATTTGGTAATGAAATAGAAGGACTCTTAATATGCATACCCAGAGTAATTGTATTTTGCAATCAGAGTTTTCTCATTAAAGAACAATTTTATGCATATTCAAAACTTTTAAAATTTCTTGTTATTACACAACAAAAATCACTGGCAAGTGAAGTGTTTTAGTAAGAATATGAAAGCAAATTTGAATTGACCTGTTCCTTCTATTTCTTTCCCCTGGGAGTGATTAACAGCCACAGGCCCCAGTGAGCACCTTTGAATTAGTGTTGAGGTGGCCTACGTCAATGCCTATGCCTGCTATCTTTCTTCCCTTCTGTACCAGAATCTGTAGTCAACACTCAGATCAAAAGCTTTTTATGACTCCCATTTTCCTAATAATTGCAGTAACTATAGCATCATAATTATTATGGTGGTGGCAGTAAACATTTCTGTACTGTTTGTCAGCTAATGCTAAACTTTATATATAGTAGCACATTTGTTATTCATAGCAGTCCTAAAAGGGTGGAAACTATCACTATTTTATGGTAGAGGAAAACTGAGAGAAGATTAAATAGCCCCAAACCACACAACTGGTGAAGGGAGGAGACAGGATTCGAACCTCCTCAGTTTGGCTGTGAAGCTGTGTATCAAATAAGATTATGCCAGACATTACCATACTTTTTCAATTCAAGGCAACCTTAAGATCTCAGTAATTTTATTTTTTCCACAGCAACCCCTGAGCCAAACAAAACACCTAACAGATATTTATCTCCTAACAAATTTAGTATTCATTTGGAAAAGTAGCGTGCGCGCGCACACACTAAATTTTTCTTTTGATTCTTTTAATTTTTATTTATTCTTAAATAACTGTGGTTACTAATGGCATGTGTGTAACTATTGGCTACCGTATAACTTCTCAAGCCTTGGAATCACATGGGACAAGCCACTCTTATTTCCTGTTTCACATTGTTATTTATTTATTTTTTTTTTTAACATGGCACTTGATTTATATCACAGCACCTGACAAAGACTTTGCTTCTCAAAGCCAGGATGTCACTAAAAGCAATGTAGTACTGTCTGAAGTTGAAACTGAGTGGTCTTGAACGGTTATTTATATGTTATCTGACAAATGTTGAGTATTTCTGCATATTTAATATCCCTAAGAAATTAAAATTATATCACAGATTCCCTCTGATTTTCCTTTGGTACCCCCTTAGTACCTTCGTAGCCTACTTTTTGGGACCCTGGGCCTAAATTATTACAACTCAGAAAATGGGGTTTGCAGAGTAGCAGTAGTGGTATCTCCTAGGAGTTTGCTGGAAATGCAGAATCTTCTACGCTGCTCCTGAAGTTAGTATCAGACTGCATATAACAACATCCTTAGGTAATTATTATATGCTCAGTAAAATTTGGGATGCACAGATCCAAACTGTCTCCTTTCATTAGAAAAGCCTGTTTTGTTTTCTCTTCTTTAATGCCCATTTTCTTTGCTACTTGTTTTCATGCCTTTCTTGTTTCCTTCTACCTTCATTCTCACTCCACCCCCCTAATTAAAAAAAAAAAAAAAGAAAGAAAGAAACATAAGGCTCACACATTTTATTAATGTGAGGTTTGTTTGCAGCTTTCCACATGAGTCTTTCACAGTGAACCCCCAAACTGAAGATACTTGTGATATATATTTATTTGTGGCATGTTTTTAGCATTTATTCTCAGGAAGGCCTGTGATTCACAAAGGGTCTGTGATTTCAAAATTATTAAAAATCACAGCTTGAAAGAATCAAGGCCTCTTTTTTATTTTTCATGGAACATTGTTTGAGTTTACTTTACTCAAATTTTGCCATTTTCACATATTTTAAAAATTATATTTTAGTGTTTTCTGTTTATGAATTAGTATGTAATTATAGTCAACTCATTTTTATTAGTGCCACAAGAGTTCAATGGGAAAAGAATAATCTTTGCTATGAATGGTGTCGGGAAAATTATATCCCTGCCTCACACATATACAAAGATTAACTCAAATTGGAGGGCCTAAATGTGAGAGCTAAAACTCCCAAGATTTATTTCTCTCTATATATTTTTTGTTTGGATTAGGCAATGGTTTCCTAGATATGACACAAAAAAAGCATAGGCAACATAGGAAGAAAAAAATAGATAATATACATTATAAAATGTTTTGAATTAATTCTATGCTGTTCGTTTAATTTGGGGGATACTGGGGATTTAACCCAGGGGCCCTCTACCACTAAGCTACATCCTTAGCCCTTTTTTTTTTATTTTGAGACAAGGTCTTGCTAAGTTGTCCAGAGTGTCCTTGAACTTGTGATTCTCCTGCCTCAGTTTCCCAAGTTGCTGGGATTATAGGGATGTGCCACTGTACCCTTTTTACATATACAGTTATTTCTACCTGGTAATATGTATCTAGTTGGTATCTCCTAATGCTAAATTTTACCTTTTCCATAACTATGTAGTGTCTTTGATATAGTAGGGGCTATTTAAACGTTTGAGATCAGTGATTTTAGTTAAAGAAATGCTTTTGTTTCTTTTTTTCCTAGTAAACTATTTAAAATTCAGGTAATCTTAGAAAAGGTGACAACTTTATTGAGAGATAATTCACATACTTTATAGTTTACCACGTAAAACATATAATTCAGTAGTAGTCAAATGACTCTGCAACTGTCATCTCCTCCCACACACAGCTTGTAACCATTAGCAGTCAACTCTCCCTTCTATTCTTTTATTCTCCCAGCTGAGGAAACTTGTAGTCTGCTTTACTTTTTAAATAGATGTGCCTATTTTGGATATTCAGTTATATAAATCAAATCATATTATTTGTGGTCTTTTGGGTCACTTAGTATGTTTTCAAAGTTACCCATTTTTAGTATGCATTCATGTTTATCATGAAGAACATACGTGGTTCCTTTTTATTGCTGAGTTCAGTCATGTTTTCAGTATACATATATTGTATATTCATCTGTTGATGGACATTTAGATTATTTTCACTTTTTGGCTGTTGTGAAATAGTGCTGTTCAGAACATTTGTGTACAAAGTTTTATTTGAATACCTTTTTACTTTTGGGAAAGTGAATTGCTAGGTCAGTTTTAATGGTAATTGTTGGTAAAATTCCTTAAGAGTAAAATTGCTGGGTCGTGTGTTAACTGTTTATTTAATCTTTTGAAGAACTGCCTAATTGTTTTCCACAGTGGCTATATGATTTTACATCAGTATAAGGGTTCCAATAAGAGGGTTCCAATTCTCAACATCCTTGTTATACTTGTTATTGTGATTGTCTTTGGAGGGGGGCAAGGGTTGGGGAGCAGTGCTGGGGATTAAACCCAGGGCCTCAGGCATGCTAGGCAAGTCCTCTACTACTGATCCACATCCCTAGTCCTTGTCTTTTTAATTATAACCCATTATAGTAGGTGTATAGTGGTACATCCTTGTGATTTTGATTTGCGTTTCCCTTATGCCTAATGATGGTAAGCATCTTTTCATTTGCTTTTGTATGTTCTCTGGAGAAATGTCTGTTGAAATTCTTTGGAAGTTTCTAAATCGGGTCCATTATTATATATATGATTTGCACATATTTCCTCCCAATCTGTGCATTGTCTTTACTTTCTTGATTTTACCTTTATAGCACTGAAGTTTAAGTTGAAGTCGAATTTATCTGTTTGCTTTGTTTATATCTAAGAAATTTTTGCCTCTTAAGATTTTTCATTTTTACTCCTATGTTTTCTT